GGAGGCTGCGGCTTTGTGGGATCTGTGGTGCCGCCGCCACGCGGGGCCGCTAGTGCCCGGCTCCTCTGTGAGAGCAGGACCTCCGCTGCCGCGGGAAGGCGCCCTGGCCCCGCCGGGCCTGCCCTCACCTGCCTGCAGCGGCCGGACTTCGCCTCTCAGGTGCGGCAGAAGGACGAATGTAAGTTCGAGCTTGTCGGGGCTCTGGGTAATTACAGGCCTTTTGCTGTCTGTTTATAAACAGGATGATCACTGTTTGCAGGTGGTGAGAGGGAAGATGTCAGTGACCTTCTCGATGCCTTGTACCGAAGCAGGGATCAGCTGAATTGGGAAATTCCCGTTTTAAGATCAGGATGTGTTTGTGCCTTACCCTGGGTTCCAGTCCTGACAAATGACAGCTGTAGAAGACACTTAGTATGGATCCTTTGTTTAAAACCTTCCCCAGGCAGAAATTGTTGCTGAGTGCCAGGTTTGCATGATGGGTATTTAATTTCTTAATCAGCAATGAGAGAAATTATTTGGCTTTATTTTCAAAACAATGTCATAATGCCAGTGAGATCAGTGAGACCTGGAATATCAGGGTATAGTAATGTACAGAATTTGGTAACAAAAATCACCATGAGTTTCTCTTTAGAATTGGACAGAAAGTCTTTCAACCTTAATAAGGAATGTCTGCTAGTTTTGAATTCAAATAAAATGACAAGTAACTTGAAAACAGTCAGTATATGCCAACACCAAGTGTTTGTTCTTTATTTGAAGAAAAAGCTGCCAGTGAAAGCAAGCAATTCTGTAAAGGAATAATTCTACATAGATTTTTAAATCAGCTGCTTTCCTGAGGTTGTCTATAACATTAAATTCTATCTTTCTTTAAGCAGAGGCTGTATCATACCAGTAAAAGAGGTATACTAAAATATTTCAGTCTGGTTGTAGGCCACGTTGTAAGAGTTGGTCTGTTTCAACAGCAGAAAATGATGCAATGTTGAATTTGAAATTGTTTGCTAGCAAAACTGAAAAGTTCTTGAAATCATGCTGTAAGACTCTGGCTAACCTTTTTAAAATTATTTTGGTTTCTATCCTGAACAGAATACAAACTACTGAACTTACCTAATGCCAAATCAACTTTTTCATATTGGGAGAGGACTAAGAATGAGTTTCAAAATAAGGGAAAAAATTAGCTCCTGCGAGAAAACATGAAAGTTGTTGTCTTCTACTTGTTGGAAAGGAAAACTGAGGATCTCGGAATATTTTTCAAGGTATGTTGCTAAAAACATTGGGGGCTATGTCCTACAGAAATTTTTTCCTGCTAAGTTGGGGTGTCACAAAGCTCCTAGTACAAGCAATATTTTGATTTTGTTTGAATTTTAGGTATCTGAAACTGTTTTTATGATACTGCAGGTGCTACATAAATTAAACTAGAATCTTAAAGGACTCCCATCAGGATACTGAAAGGGCAAACTAAACCACAATCTGACATGTGTTCCCAGCCTCACACAAACCATGATAAAGAAAACATTAGGTCAGCATAACCAATCCAGCCTGCTTTGGAGTGGGTGATGATGAAACTCCATTCATGTAAATAAGCTTTACAGCTTTCTATCAAAATCTTTACTGTTCTTAAAATGATTTGTGCAAGGACACCAATTGCAACAAAAATATCTGCTGCTAAAATAGCATTCAGTAACTCATTCACCCCTGAAATTGGATTATGTTTCTTTTCAAATTCTTTAACTTGTGTGGCATGCTTGGCACTCACAAGAGGAAAAGATTTTTATAAGGGACTTGTTAGAACTGTTACCATTACCCTTAGAAACTTATGTTCCTTGTATTTGAGACAGGATTCAAAACTTGTGGATATTCTCCTCATGACAGTGATGAGATGATGCCCTATGAGACAGCATATCTCAGCTTGCTTTTACATTGCTGTCAGAAGTAATTAGAGACAGTCAACACTCCCCAGCATCCTTCAGCACATCTGAGTAGCAGCCAAACCAGAAATGACTTCAGTTTCTTTGTACTCAGCTCACCTTCCCCAGGGAACTAACCAAGTACTTGAGTTTCCTCTCATCACTCTTGGTTCTGCTGTGCTTCCCCATGCCCTGACAGCACTGCAGTTCATCCTGGGTGCAGACCAAGTCCTTCTGCAGGGGTCATTTGGAGCTGACTGGCAAGAGCACTCCTGTTTCTTGTCACAGATATGTCTTGGAGGAAAGTGGTGCATTGTGTAATCCTCCTGGTAGTCTGACGTGCCAGCCCTTTTGAATTCCTATCTTTCAGGGCAGTGTCATTTATCCTGCTACTTGCACAGTCTGGTAGATGCATTTCACACTTCCTTTAATTTGATCCTGTACCCTCTGCTGCACTCTCATCAGTTACCTTCAGGCTTCTAATGCATGTACAGCAGATTTTATGAACTCATAACTTCACAGGCTGTTGATTCACATATTTTTCTTTAGCACTGTAGGTATGTTTCCCTTTATCATCTATTTTAAGCAATGAGGTACTTCTTCAGTCTCATAGGTACTTCCTGGCTTGGAAGGTTTTGCCCTGGGGGACCGGTGGCTTAGGAGCAGGGAGATATTTGGTGCTGGACGAAAACAAGCAGCTGGCTGAGGCATCAGGCCCAAATTTCTGAGGGAGGCAGGAGCTTTCTCTCCTCAGGCTACAGATGCTGCTGCTGTTTTATAGCAAATTTTGCTAACTGAGTAATTGTGGGTTTTCAGGTGGGGTAGGAAGAAACCTGGAAAGAACTCACAGATGGTTGTGAGGCTATTCCTTTGAAGCTCTAAGAATATAAAATATTGTTTGGAAAATAAATTATAAGCTCACATGCAAAAAGGGGCCTTCAGGAGTGTATTCAAACATGAGAGAGCCATTCAGGAGCCTGGAAAAGAAGGAAGGGATCACTGATGGGCAGCTGGAGGCACCTGTAACACCTGGTCTTGGACTTAGGCCTTAATGCTTGTCCTCTGGGTACTGTCATGCTTGTGCTTCTCAAAGATGCAGTGAAGTCACATGCTGGGGTTTTATGTAATGAAAATGTGCTACATGTGCTCACTATATCATTTTTAAATCTTCAAAGCTTCATGTGAAAATCTATGCATGGCATATAGAGTATTACTTCTTCAGCAAGAGCCATGTTGTCTTAGGAGGAGATTTGAAATACATTTTCTGAGATCTATTTCTTTCGTTTTGCATAATTCAAGACTTTGTCTTTGGAGAGGGTGCAGTTGAGACAAAAAAAGCTATTGCTGTGTCTTCCTGTTTCTCCCCCCAACTTCTGGAATTCCTTCTGTCCCTCTTTGAATTATTGCATAATTCTCTGATGAACTAAAGAGATGATTTCAGCTGTAACCAACCTTTAAATCTTGTAATGAAGCCAAAAACTTTTAATTATTCTCTGCAATGCTTTAATACAAATAATCATTGCTTTGAAGGTCAGATCTTGCATTTTGAAATCAGAACCTTCTACTTCTTATAAATGGTAAGAACTGTTTTCATATTGTGACACAGGTATTTGTCCTGTAAATGTACAGCTGGTGAATGGTGTAGTTAGTTTTTAGGGGTTTAAGATATGTGTATTCAATAGTAAAACTATTGTTAATATAATTATATGTGATAGAAAAATGAATAAGAACATAATTAATAAAATATACAGTCAACAATTTTATTCTGTGAAATTCTGTGTATTTTTATGACAAAAGATGACTACTCTTAAATTGTATGCTGTGTGATTTTTTAGGAACAAGTGTGCATAGATGGCTTTTCCATAGCTAAATATAGTTTGTGGGACATTTGTGTTGTGCCCCAGTAAATGAGCAGTAGCCCAGCTAGACCAGTTGGGGGTCACAGCCCTTTGTAAACGAGGCATTTTTGAGTTATTGGTAATCACATAATTGGAACTCTTGACAGAGAATCCTCGAGAAGGAAGACTGATGGCTGATATTGAATAATTGGTAAATATTCTTTTCTCCTAGTCAGCATTATACTGATACCTCAGGATATACTCTTAGAAATGACTCTACAGGTAGAATAATAAATTGAATACCATACTTACAGTAAATCAGGATGAGCTTTGGCACTGTTTTCCCATAGTCTGGATCTTGCATCTTAGTTTTCCTGTGGATTTCAAGTTCTTATAACCTTTTGTCATAAAAATGGAGTTGTATTGTTGGTACAGAAGATACAGTCCAGAAACACTGGCTACTTCAGATTTTTTTTAAATGTATGTTGCTTATATTTCATGAATGGTGTTTGAACTCTGCACCAACTTTTGTTTGGTTCCTTGAAATGCCTCCTGCTTTGTTTGCTTGTTTTTTGTTTTCTTTTTGTTTTTTTTAAAGCTGTGCCTAAGTTCTGCATAATGTCTTTTTATCTTCCAGGTTTGAGTCCAAATATATTGCCACTTTTTTGTATACATGATGTTAACTATTTTATTTGCAGACAGTGTGCTAGCTCCAGGTTAAGGGCTGGAGGTGCATTCCAAATCTTATAAGTAGAAGTTTATTTCTCCCCATGTGTTATTGATTCTTTTTCAATCATCTGCTGAGCTGTATAAATACCAACAAGAGTAACTATAATTTGAAGGTAAAATCTCAGGGTTGGCTTTTCCTAAAATGAAACATATGTTTGAGTTTTATTGCAATTGAGATTTCAGAAATTTTATTTCTTTTCCAAGCTGCTTGTGGAAATTCTTCATGGTGTAAGAAATTCAAGCTTTAATCCTTAGTATTACTTTTTGAAGAATATTGTTAAGGGTTTTTTTTTTTTGTAGTGCTGTGTAAAATGCAGGCTCTAAATAGCTATCTAATGGTCCCAGAACCTTCAGAACAGCCCCAGAAAATTTTACCAAAGTCATTCCATTAAAAGTTACATTCTCAATTGTTACTCTATCATCTTACTAAAAGCTTAACAAGGTAAATAAATTGGAACATGAATTCAACACGTACCTAGAGTAATACAATTCTGAAATAGGGAAACTGGCCAAGATACCTCTAAATATATATCAGATACATAGCTTTTAGCTGAAGAAGCTGAAAGAATTCCAGTAAAGGGGTGGGTACAAACATCTGTAAGTTCTCTGCAGAAGGCAGAGAACTGGGTAGTTTTTTGTCTCAGAAATATAAGGTGCCTCAAAAAGAAGTGGATCAAGAGCAAGAAGTTTACTGCTTAAATAACATGGGCTAAATCCAAGAAGCAAGCTATGGTATAGTGTAGTATTACTCATCTTGCTGGCTCTGACACCCAAGACAGTTTCTTTTATTCTTGCCAAATGTCAACCATCTGTCTTGATCTCAGGAATTAGTGCCATTCCCTGACATTATATACCTTCCCTTGGAATGTCATCCTGGCTTTGGGCACTCAGGACTTCTGCTCTAACTCACGTGAAGATGTGATTGGAGTGGGAAAGTCACACCACTGGCCTTCAGATGTTTTAACTTGAGGTTTCTGTACAACCTGTGCTGAGAAACACTCAGAATGGATTCAGGCCTCAGTTAAATTCTTGTTCTTGAAGTGGACTTAAACTCCATGGTACAGCTAAGTTATGTAATGATAACCCAAATTACCCTTTGGAGGAACCTTGCCTTTTTTGGTAGCTTCTTAGTGTAGATATCAAAATTTATGTCTAGTTTTGGGTGACATGGTTATCCTACAGCATGATAAAAGGGTAAGAAATTAACATTCAGAAGACAAATTTCTTAATCAGTGACATACCTTTAAAGGACTGAAAAATAGTGATTGTTTGACAATAGCAAATGGCCAGGGCTTACATTTTACTGTATTACCAGCTAAGCATTGGCCATCCTGGAGGAAAAACAAACAGAAGGCAGAGAGCTTAATACATGCTAGACATCTGTCCTGCATAGAACAAAATCATAGTCCTGAACAGAAGAGCCTGCATTTGTGCCATGCAATTGGTCTACAGTGCTCCTTGCACTCCTGAAGAGAGACACAGCCTTCTTCACTCAAAGTGGACCAGCAGACGAAAGGCTATGAAAACTCCCGAAGTCTCAGTTGCTTCTCAAAGGATGGGTTAATGAGTAGCTAACTTTTTTGTTTGACACATTCTTATGCCATTATTTTTAGCCAAATCAGCCAGTAGATCTGTGGCCAAACAAATGCTGGGGCAGCAGAAGAGCAGGCATAAATGCTGGTGGGACAGGAGGGCAGGGCTGCTTCTCTTGTGTTAGGCAGTCTTAGGTTGGCTAAACTGTTTGTAAAGTTGCATCTCTGGCAGTTCTTCAGCAGGGACTTGAGTGTGCAGGTGCCTGCCTGGATTGCAGCCTTTGAGCATATCCAGACTTGCAGAATTAGAGAGTATTTCCAAAGGTAGTTTAACATCTTGTTCTCAATTTGATACTGCCCTGCCTGATGTTGTCACAACATGCTGCAGCCAAGGATAAGCAAAGTTTTGAAATGGGTCAGGCTTCCTTATTGAAACTCTCACAGCTGAAATCTGAAGAAACTGAAAGGTTGAATGCTACTAAGTACTGGCTGATCTGATCCTCAGTAGTCAGAATAAACCCTGATTTGCAAAAAATGAGTGATAAATAGTGAAATTCCATTGTTGCTAATTCAGTTTTTCGCATCTGAATTTTCCTGTCTTGTTTAAACAAATTATAGGATCTGATTGCTGTTTCAGTCAGGTGCTTTGAATAGTGTTGCCAAGTACTGTCATACTGCCTCACTTCATTGTATATGTGATGCACTGAAGAACACACACACATTTAAAAATTACTGTGAGATCCTTCTGGATGAAAAGCATTATAAAAAGGACATAATTATTTCAACATTTGATTCAGATATTCTATATAAAGCACATTTTGGCATTATGAAAAGAACCAAAACATTTAAGAATTTGGGGGGGAAGAGAGGAACCCTTTTCATTTTTAAGGATAATATTAGTATAAAGTTAAAAATGAGTCATACTCTAATTTCTGACTTGGTGACTCATGCTCTTGGCAAAGTAATAACCCGAGACAAGTGACTCAGAAATAGATGCTATAGTTTTATGGCTATTGCTGTTACAACTAAACATGAGGTATGATTTTTGGGTATAACAAATGTGGCTATACCCTGCAAATTATGCCACAGTGCTGGTTGAGGGTGTATTATACATGCAGATTCCTTTAATCTGATGTGGTTTTTTTCCTTTTGAGGTAGGATGGTGTAGCTGGCTTCTGGGTGTCTAAAGCAGCCATGGCCACCAAGAATCTCAGGAGTGCATTTGGACAAGGAAAATCTAATCTGGTATGTATTTCTTTCCATCCAGGAGTGGTGATTTGTTAAAGCCTCATCACAGGAGCATTTCTCTGATTAAACTTTTCACTTCAGATTCTTAATAAATCATTCGATGAGTATTGTTGAGAATATTGATCTGGAGATGATGGGAAGATTCGTGCCATATTTGCTTGGGATGAATATAGTTAGCTGTGATCCTCTCTCTGTTTTTGTTTCTTTTTTTTTTTCCCATGCCCTCTCTGCTCCTCCTTGGCTGCAGTCTGTAAAGTGCTATCACAATGCTGGTCTGATCTGATGAAACCACAACTAATGCTGATGCCTGCCTATGGTGGGAAGAGAACCCAGATTATAAACTTGGGATTTCTGGCCTCTTAATAGGCAAGTCTGTTGCTCATCTCCCCATCGGTTCCCTTTATTTCTGTTCTTCCTCCTTTATTATTAACTCATATTGAAGTTCAGTGTCCCTGTTTCCTGGGAACCCAGTTTCATTTGGGTGTACATACAGTCCAAAGAAGTCACATATTACCTCCATGGTGAGAGTGCATCATGCAATGAAAATAGAAAAAATTTCTGTTTCAATAGTTCTGAATGATTCTCAGCTGAAGCAATGAAAAGGAAAGGCATATTTTAGTGAAACGTTCATGTTTCTCAAATATGATTCTTAAATTGAGAAATTAAGTTTATAGTAACATTAGATATTAATCATAAGTATTGCACATACCTATACAGCCTTATTATTCATTAATATAGCTGAAATGATTCCTGTAGTGAGGCAGGAGAATGTCCTAAGCAAGCTGCATTGAATAGTAGTTTGTATTCTCTTTCTTTTGTTTGATTGTAAGTATAGCGGACAACAGATGAAATAATTATTGACGCACAGAATAACACAAATCATGTCAAACAAGGACTTCAAACACCATGCTTTGAGGTCAGTTACCTGTGTGCCTGGAACTTTGATCACACTGGTAATGGCCAGATGACATAACTTGGGTGGATGTACAGGCAAAGATAAATAGGCAGGCTTTTCATTCCGTTTTAAGCAGAACAAGAAATGTCAGTGAAGTGAAAATGTGTATTGTAATATGCTCAAGGAATTCCAACAAAGAAAGCTAATACTGATGAGTTAATTTGATGAAACTGCAAGCAAAGGGGTTCATTTGTTTGGTATTTAAACTTAAATGGATCCTGTTTCCAATAAGCAGCATGAAGGAGGAGTATTTCCAGGGCACTGCCATACCAAATGGAAGACATCGTGTTCTCTGCCTGATGAAATGTAAGTCTGACTGTTAATCAGCCTGCCTAAAGCACTGCTATATTAATAGCCAGTTGTCCTGAGAATACAGCTTCTGGGGAACTGAAGATGTTTCCTAATTTATTTTTTTTAAAAAAAATTTAAGATTTTTTTTTTAAGATATTCTGATGTTTTTCAAAAAGAAGTCTTTCAGATTTCCATTTCAGCACTGACCCTGCCTAGGCAAATGAGTTCAAAAACTGAGAATGATTCTGGAGTTCTGCTACTAAGTTTTTCAGTTGGGGGGCATGGACATTTGAATTTCTCTTTTGGGTCAAAATGATCCAAATACAGCTTTCATTTTGGAAGTGAGTCCTGTCTGCAAGTCCTTTCTTAGCTATCTTGCTATTTTTTATTTTAGCATTGTTGGTTTTTTCTTTAAATGGAATGTGAGAAGAGCAGTTATTCCCAGTTTGTAAAGGCTTTGAAAATCTGTGTGCACAGAGCACTATGTACTTGAAATTTATTTAAATTCGGAACTATGTTTTGTCTTCTTACTTTTTTCCTTATGTCAGTCTATGCTGTGACTGAAGTCAATCTGCTTATAATCAAATTTAAACTTGGTTGGTGATTTGGGACGGTGACTTTTGGGATTTTTGTTTTAATCATAGACATTCTTATTCACTGAAATTAGGGTTCCAGCCTGATTTCTCTCTACAGAAAAGATAAGGGTTTTTTCCTTCATGTTTTCATTAATTGTTTGTCTTTGCCATTCCTATGAAAATAGTCGTGATAAGCCCATCATTGCTGCTCTTTGCATTTGCTTCAAAATATGGGAATGAATCTGCTCTAAAAATTACTTTGTCTATGTATGTCTTTATATATTCTGGGAGTGTCTAAGGTCTGAAAACTGCTGATGATAAGGATAAATCAGACAACTTTTTTTTTTGTTTAGGATTTTAGGCCACATGTATAGATTTCAGTTTGTATCAGATTGCAGTTGTACCTATGAATGAAGACTAATGTCCTGTTTGTGGGCATTATGTTATGTGCAGTCCATGACCACTGATGCCTCATAACCACTGCATCAGTATTTATCTTACACCTTTATCTGATGTGGTATGTGTACCTTCCTTTCTGACCCGTGTGCTTGTTCTGCTTGTTTTCAATCTTTTTATTTTCCTTTTCTTGTGTGTGTGTGTGTGTGTTTTGGGTTTTTGTTTGTTTGGTTCTATATTTTGGTTTGGTTCCCCCAAGAGGAAATGGAATGAAGATAAGATACATGTCTCCTCTGGTACATTAATTAAATTTTATAAATGAAGAAAAAGCAAGTCAGTTGGTGCTTACTACTTTTAGAGCAGTCAGGAAAAAAGGATGAGGGATAGATGTCTTTGCTGTATCAGTTCTGTTTTTAGCAGATACATAAAGGTTTTGTAAACTGGGAAAAAAAAGAAAGTATCTTTGTCTTCTATTTTATGGGAGATACACAATGCTTTTGTTTTCTCATTCCATGTGTGAGACTACTGGCACCAAATGAAATAGTAGCTTCTTTATCTGACATCCATGTCAAAGTTAAGGATAAATGCAATAAATTTGGTCAGCAGTGTTCATGAGATCAAGGGTTGAAAAGAACAATAAATGTCTATAAATAGAGCTTTATATGTGACTGTTAAAGTAATGTCCCACGGTGTTACAGCATATGTTACAAGATGCAAAATCTTTTGTGCTCCATGGTACTTGGCATATGTTTCTTAGATACTTCCATGTTAATAATTGATCCAAATAACTTGTTTTGATCACCCCTATGGTATCTTTGAGACTTAAATTCCCATTAGACCAAGTGTGTGTTTGTATTAGATATGTTTTATTGCAAGAAAACAAATATTTTGGTGACACTTAAGATCCCTGCAGTGAAATACAAATCACCTCCTATGCAGGAGAGACGCTGAAAGTTGCTTTCAATGCTAGGGTTTTTTTCCACAATGTCTCTAATGAAAATACAGGAGTCTATAATTACAGTTCTGGTATCTTTTTTAGTGTATACATAGTTTGTATTGTCCTTGTGAAAGCCTGAAATCTCTAAATTGGCCTCTTGAACATAGTGAAATGCACAGCACAGAACATACTTATTTAAGGTAAAGTCATTAGTTCCAGAAATATTCAGAAGATACAGCTAGGGTAAACCCACCCTATGCTACCATAAGGTTATTTCCCTTCTTTGTTACCAGGTAGTTGGAGCATATAAGGACAAATTTGTCTTTTGCAGCATAGCTCCATCCTACATAAGACTCTCATTCTTTGCAAACTTAGATTAAAAATGTATTTTTAAAAATATTAGCATTTGTGTGTTATTGTCTGTGGTTTCAACTTAAGCTCACAAGGACATTCTAAATGTTTTTTAGCCTAAACAGGTCTTTGGTTTATCTGTCTGAAAGTACATATTCTACTAAATTTTTAGCTCCAGGTGAGTTGCAGTGTTTGGACCTAAACCCTGTGCTTAAATATTCATTCAGACATAGCCTTCCTTGCTGGAAAAGTACTAAAAGTGTGGTGTGTTTCCATTTTACACTAATTCTCATCTCTGGGCTAGTTTAAAAGAAGGAAAATTAAACCTCTGTGTCCTTTCTAGGCTCTGATGGGCACTGTGTGCTCCCTCCTGAGTTAGAGGAGTAAGCCAGTTTTGTCTGCATTGGAGGTATGTGTATGCAGCTAGAATAGTTTAAAGAGATGCCTTTTTTATCTCTTCCAAACATAGGAAGGCATTCCTGAGGCATAGGAACTCAGGTTCCCTGTTGCTACCTGATTCATTATCATTAATATCCATGGAAATTTCATGTCAGCATTTAAGCTCTGGGAGTGCAGACCAGTACAAGTAAAAAGTCTCTTGAGCAGCTGACTGTTGATGGGAGAACCAGTTTCTCCTCTTTAGATGTGGCAGTGCTGAGTAAGGAAGAGATAGTCCTTTGTATTTGGCAGCCATTCATTCTTCCAAGCTGCTTGTTTTGAAACTTACCTCCTGATTGCATTGTGTAGAACCATATGAAAATGCTGAGTTGAAAAGAAAGTGAAAGACATTCAGCTGAGCAAAACCAGTATGTATACATACATGAGGATAATTGTCTGTGGGGGAGCAGTCAGGAGCAAAGGTCATTGTTTTCTCTACTAAGTGCTCTGCCACTTGTTGCAATAATTTATGATGATATGATGATGAACATTATTTCTCAATCAGTGGGTTGTGAACTTGCATGTTTTCCAGTCACATTTTGTATATTTAAGTTTGATAGTTAAAGATAAGCAGCAGTACACTGAGCCAAATACTTGGGTACAAGGTAGACTTTATGGGGCAAAGGAGAGTGCATTGGAAATGAGTTTTCTAGATTTTTTTACGTACCTAAGAGTTTTAATCCATTACATGTTTGTTTTCTTTTTTAAAAAGTTCTCTGCAGAATAGAAACTATGACCTGGAAAAAAAAGATTATTTGCCTCCAACATCTGCTTTATCTTCACTGTCTGGTACTCATAAGAAATAATCAAGGACCCTAAAAGCTACTAATTTGGGCATTTTTATTTGAAATGTCTGAACTAAGGCACTTAAATTTTTTTGTTTCCTGTAAAATAAGAGCACCAACAGCTCTTTAATTGCCAGGGATCAGTTAAAAGTTGGAGAGAGCAAGTGTAAACTAAGTTATAATTGTCTAGTTGGACATAGAAACAGAGGTATTGGCAGGGAAGGCTTTAGAGAGGAAAGGTTATCACTGCTTTGTGACTATTGCATGCTTTCTTTCAGTTGGGATGAAAGACAGCAACCACAATCCCTAATCTCATCTCAGAACTGCCAGAGGAGAACTGTAGAAGCCACTTGGACTGCTGCAAAGTCTGGCCACAGGGATAGGCAAGATGGTAAGACCAGCCTACACCTATGTACCCTTCTGACTCTTATTCCCTAGTCTTGGCTGCTGTTATTAGATGTGTAAGTCAAGTCTGTTACACAGGCAGGTAGTGATTGGACAAGGGGGAGCAGAGATTTACAGTAGATACTGTTAGGAAGAAATTCTCTACTCGGGGGATAGTGGGGCACTGGAAAAGATTGTGCAGACAAGTTGTGGGTCCATTCCTGGGAGTGTTCAAGGCCAGATTGTATGGGGCACTGAGCAACCTGATCTGGCAAGTGGCATCCTTCTACGTGGCAGAGGGGCTGGAACGAAACTGTATTTAAGATCCCTTCCACCCCAAATAATTCTGTGTCCTAGTCCAGACAGCATTCCAGGTAGCATTCATGCTGCCTTGCCTGGCCACTGAGCTTGGTGCTTGGGCCAGGAGATCTATCTATGCCCTATTTGTCATCAACAAAGAGAAAGAACATTCCTCCTCATGGCTGTTCAAACTGCCAAAGCAATGTTCATGCTTAGACAGAGTGCCTTTTTCTGTGTTTCTCTCCCTGGATGAAAGTGAGGGGGGGATGAGCTTCCCCTTTGTGCAGGGCTTTTCTTCATAACATCAACAGGTTTTCTTCAAGTGCCAAAGAAGGCATAATTGAAAGAAGCCTGTACTAATAGGTGGGTGAAAAGGGAAGGAACTACTAGTCTCAATATAATCTTTCTTGGCCTCAATCTGACAAAGATTTAGGCATATGACTAAATTTATGCCATTAATTTCCTCTGTCATCTGCAATCAGTTTCCTCTCTCAGATGCATTAGTGTTTGGGGGAAGCAGAATTCTCATGTGAGCTAGCTGTTGTGCTAGTAAGACTTCCTTAGCTTTCCTGAGTCACACCAATAATTCCAGAGGTCTTTACATCCATTTTTAAATACTCTGACATTGTACTTTCCAGATAAGAATTTTGCACAGTTTTAGAGCTGTTTTGTCCTCTTTGATTTACACGTCTATCACTTGTCATTATATAGTTATGTTTGACTGTTCGTCTTCTAGCCCTGCAGTTTTTGAGAAAAAGCTTGAAAAAAACCAAAGGTCCTGCATACACCAAAACAGGATGGTTTTTTTCCCAGTTCTGAAGATAAATTGAGAAGAAATACCAGACTCATAGACCTGGCACTTTCTATTTGATATGTGCAATATGTGAATGTACCTAAAACAAATCAACAGTATTTTTTGTTTTGTGATGAATGTTCTAAATAGTTAATTTATTCTGTTTTACTGCACTTGCGTTATTTCAAAGAGGAAAAATTGAGTAAGAACTAGTATAACTGGCCTGCAGTATAGAAATAGGATAAACACGGAAATAATTTGAATAGAAATATAAACAGAAATGGCAGAGAGCCAGCAACTGTTTGAATATAAATACTCAGGCAGCTATAGGAGAAGTCTCTTTCCTTACATTCTTTGCATTGTGTGAAACAGTCTGTGTAGTTTGAGATGTGCATGTGTCTTGTTACCACTTCTCTCCAAAATATGACCAAACCTTTATAGCTGGTTGGCTTTGAATTAGAATTACACCACTGGTGCTCTGTAAGACTTTTGTTGGTTTTGGATAACAGATTTACATGTGGACTGCACCTGTTTGATACTTATTTTAGCTTAGCCTTAGACCACGGATATAGGAGTCCCATGGAACGAGAGAGGGAAACACAACCCTCAGAAGTTCCTAAAACATTTCAAGCCAGGATGATAATATACCTGAAAGGGTGGTGTATTTTGTTTGATTGTTTGTTTGTTTTTCCAGTTCCATTGGTTTTGAACTGTAACACCTGGAGCACAGCACTTTTGAACCATGGCAAGGTATCCTAACTGCAAGGGAGTCAGTATTTGCTGAAACTGACAGAGTTAAAGAATTACAGACTTGCCCTCTGTGTTTATAAACAAGTAAGAGGTGAGAGAAAGCTGAGTGTCTGAAGCACAGGCAGGTATGGAATAATCCATGAAGTATTTGCTGTGCAAATGTAATATGTGTGGTATGTATGTAATAAGTGGGTCAGTATAGCAGACTTTTTCAGCGATCTGAGGTCATTTGTGTCCAGGAATGTTCAGCATAGTTTAATTTGTTCATCATAGTTTTCACAGATTGTTTGTAGTCCTTTTCCCACCAGATTGCTGGTTTACAGTGAGATATATAGAAAATACTTAATAATATAAACTAGGAGCTTCCACCTGCTTCCGTTGAGGAAGAAAGACAGAAATACAGAGTAAACGTTAATTTTGAAAGAACTGAAATCATCCTTGACTTACTTTGTCAGTATTGCACATAGATTCTATTTAGATTGTCTTACAAGTTTAACTGAAAACTGAACTGGTAAACAGGGTTTGCTTAGAAAGCTGGAGTAAAAGGAAGAGGATGAAATTGCTTTAGTTGCACCAAGGTGTTAGAAACTTAATTTGTAATACATCCCATGACTTCAGTGACAGATTTTATATGCTCCAGTCTACTTCTATCTGTGCCATAATTGTGCAAAATTAACAGCAAAATATTAGGGAAATACTTAATTAGAAATAAAGGATTGGAAGGAACTTAAGAAAGGTACCTTTTCCTTGCTTCAAGTCTGGATTGGTTCTACTTAAACCGTTCATCCACAAATACTTAGTTTCTTGTAAAAACTCGCCAGCAATGAACAGTCAAGTTTTCGAGTTCTGTCTAATCTTTGTTTAACTTCATGCTAGGTAATGTCTGTCTCCAGTGTAAATTTCCCTTCCTGCGGTTGCCACTTTCTTGTTTCTGAACAACTGTGATGATTTCCTTTGCTGCTACCTGTTCCAGATTGTATACCCTTTCAAATCTTTCATTTCATAGACTAAAACTTGATGTTTTAATTGCATTCTGTTAGTTATTCCAAAAGCTTTTTAGAAGCCTAAAATTTGACACAGTATTTGAGTGCAGTATTCCAGTATGTCAGTGGAAGGATTATTCTGCTACCACAAGGAAATTTAAGTGTGCAATTAAAGGTACTCTTGCTTTTGTTGGAGTAAAGTAAAAAGTTGCCACCTTTCAGCTGAGATACAGTAACTGCTCTTGTGTCTGCTCCCAGCAAATGCGGAGAAAAACAGGTTTGATCTCCTGTTGCATATGGGACTGGCTGTATGTGCAGTCATTTTCTGTGGGGGATGAGAAGGGACAACTGTTACCAGCTGGAGACAGTAGCAGCAAGGATTCTTCATGCCCTAAGAGGCTGAACTTGACAATTGCATGAAGTGTACCCAGCCAGCTGCCCAGATCTGCCACCAAATGACATGAAGGTGTGTGCCAGTCCAGGCAGCAGGTTTATGTAGTTTAAACATAATCTGGTAAATTAGGGACTTCTCAAGGAATTTCACAGTTTTGGAAGAACTAAGCCCCCATGTAGCAGTAAGTGTTTGTAGCCTGACTTCCTTCTTACCCTCTTCAGGACAGTTGTTTTTGGACTGGCAAGTTCAAGTGCTCATGCGTAAGAATATTAAGAACACTTTAAATATTTAAATAATCTTCAGAATATTACTTGCAGGCTTTGAGGAAGAAAATTTTACTTCGTTCTCAAACACTCTTTCTTCATTTTCCCAACCTGGTGTGCATGTTTTTCTGTTGTTTGCTCCCAGCTACCTAAACACAATGTTCTGGTCTGGGCCAAGAAGTGGTGAGAATGCTACATTACCTCTCATGAAGCCATTTCTTAATGCAGTATCCCCTCCTGGAGGCTGTTATAATAGTTCTTCGTTCTTTGTACGTGTTCTACTGTGGAAGCCCCCTGTCCTGCCCCATCTCTAGGTGTAAGAAGGAGACATTGTGAGACTTGTTTTTACTTTAAGGATAACCATGCATACAGTGACTGGCAGTTTGTATAAAGAAATGACCTTCATGTGCAGAGCAAAATTTAATTAGTGTTTCTTTTCTAGTATACACATGACACCACAGCATCGTTCACCCAGTTTTATTTTATGTCCACTTGATATTTGATATATTCCATTCAGAAAATGCATCTTTACACTTGGATATCTCAGCGGTCAGAGAATAAATCACAGTCACAAGATTATCAGTGCTGTGCATGGACAGCCAAGATACTAAAAAAGCATGAGGTCAAACACATTCAAGGTCACCCTAGTCCCTCTAAGCTGTTAAGTGACACGTGACAATGTCGACAAAAATTTGAACGTTCCGACCGATGAATAAGTAACTTTGTGTGATGTGCAAGGCGTACCTGTGAACACACGCACCGAGGCCTCGGAGACACAGCCACCTGAGCCGCATGAGTGTGCGCCAGGGTACGCCGAAGCGAAAATGACACCGCAGCCGGTGTCAGGGGGCAGCGGGGTCGCGGGCGCCGGGCCCCAGCGCAGTTGTAGCGGGGGCAGTTTGCGGGTGGCCGTGCCCCGCCCCGGCGCACTCCCGGGGCCGCCGGCGGAGGCCCGCAGGTGC